CATTCCTGAATAGAAATATTCCAATGGACATTGATACCCCATGAAAATCTTATGCGGGAAAGATCAAACGGGCAATATGGACATATTTTAAACGGGCATATCATTTTCAAAGCCAGGATGCACTACATGAAGAATTCGTTGTAACTTTTTTTGAAAAGCATTCCAACTGTACCTTATGGTTCGAGGATTCTGTCGTAAAAATTTGAATTATTTTAGACCACGCCCATTCAAAATTAAAACACCTATATTGTTCTTTCTGAACATGCTGGACGCCTGATTTTTCAGTGATGGTGGATTATTAAATGTTGCATCCGATCTGAAAAACTGACGTGAAACGGATCAGAAATGATTGGGCAGCCTTAACGATTCCCATAATGTTTAATGGGGTGGTTAACGGGTTGACTTTATCACGTGATCAGGTAAGCCAATCACCTGATCACACGTAATGAATAAACTCGTTATGCTTCGTATCTCGGCCATCTGAGAAGCTACAACTCAATTTTTTCAGGACAAACGTTATTCGAATGGCCAAACACAATTCAATAAAATTTAGCTCGATTCGACTATCCAAACTATCAAATAAATGCAAAAACCTTCATTTGGAAAAAAAGAACTCAAATATTTTTCGGTTTGACAAATTCCTCGAACCAGTGGTGGTAGTAAGTCGTACCAGGAAGAACTATTTCAATTGGTCACTCAGTGACTGAGCTATTAAGGCCAAAGTATGCCAACTGACTTTTGGCCCACCCTGTATTATTGCTAACTAAGAATAAATAATTCATAATTTTCCTGATCATGTATAATAATTAATAAAACCTACTGACCACTGTTACCGTGTTTTAAAAACCTAGAAATATACCCTAATTTGCACAAAGCACATAACACACCCGCACTTTCATGCCTGTACACTGTACAGTGTACCCCAATAATACCACATATTCCATAATATCTCATCCTACAGCTCGTTAACATAAAACTTAATCTGCAGGTATCTGAAACTGGGTGCCGCACGACGAGAGGAGGTCACAACTCAACTTCAAGCCTGCTCAGCCACTGTCTTCTCCTTCCTGGAGTTTGTATCTGCTAACAGTGCATCGCTCCCTAACCCTGACTTTACTCACAATCACCTGTTCAGATGTTGGGGCAGCTGGCTTGTGTTAGGTAATTCTAATACTCCTTATCTACAGTGCCGGGGGGGGGGGGGGGGGGGGGGGGGGTGTAAATTAGGCTGTTGGTAATTATGCAATTATATTACTATAGTGGTGTAAAGACTCAAGAGACTAAAATAATTATCATCTATTTAATTCGCGTTTTTGACACCATACCACTTGGGGTCTACATTTTGGGCACTAAAATTCTTATTCTTTGGCCAATTTTGTATTTTTTCATGCTGATTTAAAGGCCATTAAAGCATTTGGACCAGTCAAAAAAGTTTCAGTTGTATATCTTTTACAAAGAACAAAGACTCCATCACGTAATCAATTACGTAACGCGTTACGTGCCGCCTAGCTGGAGTCTTATACTTTAAGTTTAATTATATAAAAAATATTTATTATAATAAATATTTAAATTTAAACTGAGTGATGAAAGTAACTCAAATAAAAACCTGAATTATCCTAATTGAACCACTAATGGGTATGTAATATGACCACACGTGTGCAGCAAAAACTTTTCAACCACCTGCACCCATTACTAACCACTAAGTGTTTTGGTGATAGATAAGAATAATGGCGTTAGTATTTGTACCCCAGAAATTAGCTGGGTACCTGTGAAGTGAACGGTTCTTAAAAACTAGCTGCGTATGTGTGAACTGTGAAGTAAACAGTTCTTAAAAACTAGCTGCGAACGGTTCTTAATCGTGAAATCCAAAACAATCCGAACACTATGTGACTCAAAGATGTGTGAAACAATAGACAATCACGAGACAAAGCCAACTAGTATGATCCAATTATTTAGATATTGGCGTTGGTATTTGGAAATTAACTGAATTAAAATTAAATAAAAACTAGCTGTGTACGAGTGAAGTGAACAGTTTTAAACCGTGAGATCCACAAAATCCGCGTGGTTCAAAGAGGTGTGAAACAATAGACAATCACGAAAGAACGTCAACTAGTATGATCCAATTATTTAGATATTGGCGTTGGTATTTGGAAATTAACTGAATTAAAATTAAATAAAAACTAGCTGTGTACGAGTGAAGTGACCAGTTCTAAACCGTGAGATCCACACAATCCGCGTGGTTCAAAGAGGTGTGAAACATCAACAATAGACAATCACGAGAGAACGTCAACTAGTATGATCCAATTATTATTATTAGAGCTTTAAATCAAGCTTCTAAATTCGGGATAGTCTGTGGCACCAACGCCCCATTCTAATGCTTCTACAGACCTACACAAGTGCAAGTAAGTAGGTGAATATTTCATGCTAGGCATGTGGCACCCATTACGGTAACCATCTATTGATAAAATTGATCCAAACAAAATTGATCCAATTATTTATAATTATATATTTTATTTGAATATTCTTTGCCAATGCTGTGAAATTCTATCAAAAGGAATGTCGATAGAAACTACAAAGATTACTACAAATTATAAATTATTTTAATATCGTTGCCAAATGGTACATTAGCAAAATATTTCAGGCAGGAGACATGCCGATCTGGCAGGGGTATATCAAACTTCTTAAGCTATCACTTACAGGAGACAAAATAGGTCACAAAAGTTCTATTGTGTCGATCTTATCTTGGCCGATTAGGGCAATTATATGTCCACTCCATTTATATTGCTGTCTATGTTATTTAATTTTTATTGGTTATTGTTACTATCTTGCAGTACTACTAGCTGTCTTTTGTAGTACATGCCCTGCTTCCTTCCTTTCCTAAATTCCTTACAAGCTCCTCCTCTCTTACACCCTTTTCACTCACTTCATGTCATTCACTCACTTCATATCTTATTACCACAGTATCTGCCAAAACCAACATAGCCCAAGTAGAAGGGGGCCTTGATATTGCTTTCCACTTGGCCCTGCATCCCATGCTGACTGTCGGCCTCCACTCTAAAAAAACGTACCTTCAGTGGAGGCCGAGGGTCAACAAATAGCAATGTTAGAGCTTGGTGGGAACAAATCCTGACCTCCTTTTACATCTTTGGGACGACTCTCGCAAATGCGAGAGGAATGACCCAGGGGAGGGCTCCATTGGTTTTAGTAGGTTGTATATTTTTTTAAAATTTTTAAAAAAATTTAAAAAATTAAAAAAATTAAAAAAAGCTGTGAAATTCCAAATAATTCTAAAATTACCGATAATTCACTGAAATTAAATTTAAAAATGAAAACTAGCTGCGTACGTGTGAAGTAAACAGTTCGTAACCGTGAGATCCACAACAATCTGCGTACAATGTGGCTCAAAGAGCTGTATATATACTGCCCTGTAATTACTGATAAATTCTAGGCATTTGTCAACTTTGCTTCCTGTTGACAAGCGTTATTGTTTCAATCATTGGTAGAACCACAGTATACAGAATCTTGTCTATACAGCGCGTTTGTGGCCATTGTATGTTGCCGATACAAAAGATTTGCTGTTAGAAAGCTTTAGACTTCATCCTATCTCTTTATCGAAACAAAAGTTTCCAAATATTTGTTTAACTTAGGTATGAATGGAGAGGAATATAAAACACTAATTTGATCATTAACTCAGTTTATAAACATTCCACTATGGTCACGTTTATTTCCAGAGAACTAGCGCTACAGATAGTCCCACGATTAGCAGCATTACAACCAACACTAGTAAACGCTATTAATACTGATAACTTGGATGTAGTGAATAGCATAACGAGGATAGTTACAGGTAACTTTATACTGATAAGAACTGATCTATCGTAGGGGTAGTATAACAGAAATAGTTGAGTAGGTAAAATAGAAAAAAATAATATCGTTATTCGATTAATAGATTGAATACAATGAGATTGGATTGCCGTAATTATCCACATTCCACAGTTATGTACAACCCGTACAAACAATTATAAAACAAGTGCTTATTTTTCTATGCTTGTTTTGGTATTCAAATCATCACAAAGGAAAATTAAACATCTTCATTAGTACAAGGCGTTTATCATTCCACTGAAGTGCCCTTAAACAAGTATTGAATTTGAACGATATCAACTGCTCTACAAGAGAAACTAGAATGCCTGAAGTACAACTTGAGCTTTAGCCCCCCAATTGGCATAGGCTACCTTCGGTGGTTCATGTCAACGACGATGCCTTCTACCATGCCAATCATCTCGATGATATAGAATTCGAAAACCGGGATATCTTCCGAGGGATATGGCCGACGTACCTTCAAGTTCATACCTAATCTGCACAGCATTTAACATTTATATTATTTATATTATTATTAATACCTAACGACTGCTTTTCTTACTTTCTGTATGTAAAATTGATTTATAAATATTATCTTTTAAAATTGAAAAAAAGATGAAAAAATTCGGATTTTTAATGGTTTTGAAATCCTTCGAGCGTTCATATTAATGTCCGTTCAACATGAACATTATGTCCGTTCACATAATGTCCGTTCAAATAAGGTCCTATAAGGTCCGTTCAAAGGGTGCAGGATGTTCAGCTCGACAAAATACCGATGGAAATTATTTCGTAGGCCCTAAAATGACTTCTTTGGAAGAATTGGACATAACTCACTTGCTGAAGTAGCTCTGAATTAAATATCGGATTAGAACCTGTAAGACTGGCCTCCAACTCGCAATTTTTGAGATTCAAGCAATTCGAGGAAGATCAAAGGGTGCAGGATGTTCAGCTCGACAAAATATCGATGGAAATTATTTCTTAGGTCCTAAAATGCTATCTCCAGATCCAGTCTTAACCTTCAATTGGACATAACTCACTTGCTGAAGTAGCTCTGATACTTGATAGTGATACTTCGGATTAAAACCTGTAATTAGGCAGCTAATTTTCTCTGAATTTAACTAAATCACAAGTGAATTACTATTGTTACCTTTATTACTCTCAATCAAAATAAAATTGAATGAAGTTACAATAATGTGACACACTACATAGTACAATGTACATAATGTCATTACCATAATCCCTTGATATTCAAAGCATCTAAAAGCGCAAGAAAGCGTTAACGAAAAAACTTTGAAATTCATAGATTCGTGAAAACTGAAAACCAGAAAACTGCAACTTCATGACGTCTGCTCAAAATAATTTACTATTAATTGTAGATAATTTTGTCCACTACACAAATTTATACAACAAATGAGCTCTACGAGCTAAAACCTATGTTTCTATGATTATTTCGTCATTGTTATTAGGTTTATTAACTGTAACATACACAATTTTTCCTCGGTCTTGATAAATTTCAAAGCTCCTTCTTAAATGCCAGCTAATTCCTTTCTAACTCTACACTTGAAATTATAATAAGAGTGACTCAATTTCCTATGGTTGCTATGTTGGTTATTGTTGAAGGGCATCAATGAGTAGATGATCCATTCCTTGCTTCAGCACACTTATTGGAACATCTGGATAACCAATTCCTGGGAAAAATCATTTCCAATTTCCATTACAAAAATCATCGGAATTACACTTACAGGTGGGGAAGCAGCTAGGCAAGGTTCCAAAAGTTCGATATTTGTTCAACTAATAAAAAAAGTTTATAATTTTTATAGAGCGTACATTGATAGTGCTTATGAAAGCTAGAACTGGTTTAATATATTTGTTACAAGTGATAGACCCACGTGAGATGTTTTAAATATTTTAGTCAAAGTTGTAATGGTACCTTTAAGATAGTTGTGAGCGTATCCTAGACCGTTCTTCTTTTCCTTCTGACTGGCTCTGCCGCCTACCCACACAAAGACGTGTTTAACCACGTCCACAATGAAGCAGTTGTCAGGGTTGAGCAGTCCAAGACAGACAGAGTCTCCTTCTGCCACGTCGTCTATCTTACACTTCCCGTCTGAGATATTGGTCAGATCAGTGTGGTAACATAATATGTATATACATGAAAATGTTTGATAAGATACGCCAACTCACCATTTCACTAAAACTATGGTCTAAATTTTAATAGTTTCAACATTGTCAGTAGATTCAAGTAGTTATTATATATGAATATCATATTCGATTGAGAGCAGGAATAACAAGCTATCTGTTATATTGGAGCAACCTCCGTGACGTAACTATTAAATATTTACTGACTCAAACTCACCTTCTTCAGATATTTCCAACATGCGCTTAATGGACTCTCTCTGCGGCTTCGGTACCACCTTCTTCGGTTTACCACCTTCTCTATCTTTAAGATATTGCATGATGCTAGAGAAACCGTCAGTTTGTTCATCAAGAATGGTGCTTCGAACCTGCAGATAATACAAAACACTTTTATCAAAGTTTTAATGATTAAATAGATGTTAATTTGTAATAAGTAATACGTAAGTTCAACTACCTAGAACAGTGTTACCTCGCTATGACGTGCATCGAGGGAGGAAACAATTTGCCCAAAAACCGCGTTATAACGAGGTCCGCGTTATGGTAAGGCGCGTTATAATTTATAACGAGTTACTACAGCTGTGTACTGTAAGTGTATGTACTACCTTATCGGACCTTATTTGGACGGACATTACTTGAACGCTGGAGGCCCTAGCGTTCATCTTAATGTCCGTTCAAATAAAGTCCGTTCAATTAATGTCCGTCCAAGTTAAAGTCCGTTGAAATTTTTCAAACATTTTTCCATTTCGAACTTTTTGTCCAGAATATGAAAATTTCAGTCAATTTCAGTCAATTTCAATAGCTATAATTAAAGTTAAACTAAACTATATCGTTGAATCAATAAAATAAGGTGTTATAAAATTTTAACAATGCATTTAAAAATCATTTGCTAAAATTAAAAAACGTCAAAAAAAGGATGAAAAAAAATTCGGATTTTTGATGGTTTTGATTGCCTTCTATAAGCGTTCATATTAATGTCCGTTCATAATTATGTCCGTTCAAGTAATGTCCGTCCAAATAAGGTCCGATAAGGTATGTATAATGTATATACAGTTGAACATCGTTTCAAATTATAATTATCAATGAGGTTAAGAGTTTTTGAAACGAGAAAAGTTATTGATATAATTGTATTAATTACTAATAGTAATTATTAAATAGTTTACCTTTCTTTTTGCTTCAAGATCTTGAAGATATCCTGCAGCTGAGAATTTCTCCATTTTGTCACACTTAGCCCCGTTACACTGGTACAAATGATCACCTGTGATAAACAGGCATCAAAAGGATTGATTTCCGACTTATAAAAGGGTTTTCATCTTTTTCTTTCTCTCCCCAAATTTTCCCCCTTTTGTTCTTATTTCATTAAAATTGGTTAGAATTTAAGTGCGATTTGATTAAATTTTAAATCGATTTGGTGACAGTTCAATCTTCTTTTGGTGTGGGACGCAAGCAACACATTTGAAAATGAGACACCACTTCATTACAGAAAATTCAAAGTGCTATGTAAAATTAGCAAATAATAAAGATGATAGTTGAACAGAGGTAGTGTGCACCGGGTGAACACAGCCTCTGTAGTTGGAGCTGTAAAACTAATTAAGTAATTAAGAACACCACTGTCCAATACCCAATCCTAAATATATACTAGGAATGAAACCAGTTATTGGACTCACCACTATCAATGATGAACACGTCATCACTGGTGATGTACTCTTTGTACGGAGTTTTCTCGTATACCTGAAATTTAAACAAACTTGTGAGCACTGCATCTTGTAAAATGGAAAATAACTTGAATTGTGGAATATCAGATCAGTGTTTTACGTGCACATCACCTCTTGTTCTACATTGGTGGGCTAACCTGGGGATCCCAAGATAGGGATAAATCTTATTGAAATAAGACCGTGAGTGAAAAAATATATTTTCTCAATAATTATAATACCCAGCAAACTATTCGAATAAAACACCTTTCATGTAATTAAGACACGAACTATAATCAAACCACTAACCAGACTCACGCAGCAGCTGCCCAAGCTGGCTATATTCGTTCTATATTCGTTCTACTATATTTATTCTACCACTGGCACTATTATACTTCGGAGTTCTACCTTATCGGACATAATTGTCACAGACAAGTTTTTCACGGAAATAATTATTTACGCTCATGACCGCCCAAAAATTAATGGGAATAATTACTGGATTTTATTATTCACGAACCTTAATGGCACAGACATCATATTCACGGACGCAATTATTCACGCTAAGGTCTTCAGCGTGAAAGTAATGTCCGTGATAATTATGACCGATAAGGTAGTTCGTGTCTCACTTACATATTATACATATACACCATACAGAAACGTTATATAAAAGCTATAGAACTTTATTTTTACAAAGATAATATCTTAATAACCTGTTGAAGTCTCATAATTGAAATACAAAATCTGGCATTGCATTCCGGATGTTATCGACCACCTTGGATTTATCGTTATAGTGGTATGTTTATTGTGCAGCCAGCTATTCACAACTCGCTATGGTTTCGCAACTTATTTATAGTAGATTTTAAACTAATATCAGAGTTATTTGTTGGAAAACGTCAACACAACGAAATATTGTGATGTGCTAATAGTAATACTTGTTAGGTGTTTGTTAGGTGTCTGACTTCTAGTGACCCATTGTTGCCGAATGTCTCTCGATCAAATATCTTCTAGTTTTTTAATGTCCGCCCCAAAGTTTACTTAAAAATACCTTATCCGCATTCCTCGCGCTTTCCTAAACATTTTGAAGCCATAAATTATACCATAAACTGATCCAAATTTATCAAACGGGGGTTTACGAATCAGCGAGTTGCTCATTCGTTGTAATTGTTATTTACCATTAAATACGCGGAAGTGCAATCAGCAATTTCAACCCTTATGAAACGAAATGTTATTTGATTTAAATGACCAAGTTATCAAATTATTAGCTTTATTTTTAAAACTTGCAGAGTAACGTCTACTTTATTTAATTTATATTTAGCAATCAGTTTCGTTCTCAAAGCGTGTGTGGTGTTTTAGCGGGACTGGTAGTGGTTTACAGTGTGTGACAGTGCTTTATTCATTTCTTACACACTGCAGGAATCTTGAACTCAATCAGTCTTTAACAAAAATAGCGCATTATAATTGTGTAGTGTTAAATTGATTTAAAGTTATCAGCCTCTGCCTTGGGTAGCATCCCCTGACTCTCCAATACGTATAAATATATCGCCATGTATAATGTACATTGTATATTGTACATTGTACATTGTACATTGTACATTGTACATTGTACAAATCACAGGTCCTTCTTATCGCAAGATAAGACTGATAAAATAGCACAATTACTGCACAACCGGAGCTATAACATTAATAACTTGTATAACTACACAATTGTATTAATGAATTCGTGTTGTGTTATAGAGTCTCATTTGAGGATTCTTTCAGAAATATTCTGATTTTGTCTGAATAGACTCAGTGATGACAATGTTCTAATGAAGGTAAATTATAGATAAATCATGTGTCGACTTTTCTACGTTATACTCATATTCTTAAATCATTTGTTATATAGTAGTGTTGAAAGTATTAGGTATTTGAAGTATTTAATACTTTCAATACTACTGTATTACAAATAATTTGAGAATATGAGTATAACGTAGAAGTGTCGATATATGATTTATCATTAATTATCTATTTACCTTCAGGCTTCTTTAGAACATAATGATCACTGAATCTATTAAAAAATCAGAAATTTTCTTGAAAAAATCACACTTTCACAATCACCCCCGCCTACCTTGACAGTTTTACAATCGTTGGAGAAGTGGTAAAGTTTGGGTTCAGCTTTTGCCTCCTCCACATGTCTGAATCCGCTTTTAGCGCCTCCTTTACGGATTGTAACGCTGGGAAAGTAGGATTTGAAGAGAGAACTCTCGTTACCTTGTGTCTCCCTGTGCTGCACTGCTTCGTCGCCTGATGGGAATGGTCACTTTTAATTTAATATCTAATCAAATTATTTGTTATATAGTAGTGTTGGAAGTATTAAAATTATTAAAACTTTCAACACTACTATATAACAAATAATTTGAGATATGTTTAAGACGTAGAAATGGCGATATATGATTTATCTATTTACCTTCATTAGAAGCTGTCATCACTGAGTCTATTAAAAAAAGAACAAAACTGAAAGGTTCTCGCGAAATATGATGAATAGTATCAGCTATCGAGAAATTTGTTAATTTAGTGAAAATCATTGTCACAGTAGTTAAATAAACGTAGTCAGAGTCGAGGACTGAGTAAGTCCGTGAGAAATACCCAGTAACTCACTGAGTCACAGCATCACAGTCACGTGTCAAAGCAAACCTGCTTCATCTCCCAGGTTACTAATGACTTACTAATGACTTACTAATGACTTACTAATGACTTACTAATGACTTACTAATGACTTACTAATGACTTACTAATGACTTACTAATGACTTACTAATGACTTACTAATGACTTACTAATGATTTACTGATGACTTACTAATGACTTACTAATGGCTTACTAATGACTTACTAATGACTTACTAATGACTTACTAATGACTTACTAATGACTTACTAATGACTTACTAATGACTTACTAATGGCTTACTAATGACTTACTAATGACTTACTAATGACTTACTAATGACTTACTAATGACTTACTAATGACTTACTAATGATTTACTAATGACTTACTAATGACTTACTAATGACTTAATAATGACTTACTAATGACTTACTAATGACTTACTAATGACTTACTAATGACTTACTAAGATAGAGAGTGATTTACTCCGTCGACTAAACCTAGTTTTGAAGGGTAGATTTTGTGGTTTTAGTGAAAATTAGTTATTCTTATTTTTCTCCAAAATTAACTCACTAAGTAAACAGTCCAGCTCCACAGTCTTGTAAGCAGCTGTCCCATATTCGTCCTGAGTCGAGTACTTTCCTATCCAGAAGTGCAGATCATACCTCAGCTTGTCCCTGGAAATGTGTTTGATAGAGAGAAAGAGAGAGAGAGAGAGAGAGAGAGAGAGAGAGAGAGAGAGAGAGAGAGAGAGAGAGAGAGAGAGAGAGAGAGAGAGAGAGAGAGAGAGAGAGAGAGAGAGAGAGAGAGAGAGAGAGAGAGAGAGAGAGAGAGAGAGAGAGAGAGAGAGAGAGAGAGAGAGAGAGAGAGAGAGAGAGAGAGAGAGAGAGATGTGTGTGTGTGTGTGTGTGTGTGTGTTTGATAGTGTATTAAGTGGTCACGAACCAGGGAAGGGGCATACAAGTATAAGTCAAAGTAATGTTCCAGATTAACAGATGGATTGTGGAACATTAGCGCGGCACCCTTATCTATTTCAGCCTCTATACCCGATTGAAATATATTGTAAATGTGAAAATGGTGACTTACTCTCCCGGTTTGATGTAGGTATGGAGGACAATGTAGCTGTCACCGCTGTAGAACGTTCCATACTCATTCTCCGGCCACGTTTGCACTTTGAACTGAACAGATAGAGGGGTAAAAAGAGGGGTAAAAAGAGGGGTAAATGGTTACATTCACGCTTAAAATTATTATGTTATCTTTGCTTTAGCTCGAACCTGTTTTATTTACAGTCCAGAATAGTTGAAATGCGAAAATGTTGATATGTTAAAGATATTTATATTCACAGCAAACGTTTTTAAAAGAGCAGCGTATTCATGGTCTAAGGAGTACCAGTAATCTAACTCGTTTACTTTCTGAGGAGACTCATTATCTAATAATCTTACTCATTTTTGATACAGCTGCAGAATGCAGATCAAAGATCACCTCGTCGAAAGATCAAAGAGATCAATTTAGCCCATACGTGCTGTTCATGGCACAAAGAGGGAAAATTTTAGATAAATCTAAATTGTGCAGCATTCAGCATTGATTATTGAACTCGCTCTCTCTCTCTAAGTAGTTGAATTCTATACCGAGAATTTATTAAAATGACATCACTCTAAAAACTGGATCACTTCCAGGATGAAGTGAATTATACTTAGACGCTCTGATAAGAGATCATTTAGAGTCTGTTTTAATTGTTCACATCTTCTGCTCAGCATTCTTTACTGGAGTTAATAATGGACACGTCTGGAATATGGTAGAAAGTGTAGTGTTACAGGGATTCATCATAAACCATTCCATCTCAATTCATGATTGGTTACCTACATCACTAGTCGTCGGGAAACTCTATTATAATTATAATTGTGAAGAACCCTTACGAGATAATCTAATCGTGCTGGTGTTATTACATATGTGAGGTTGTCGATGTAGAGTTTTAACAGTCTCTCTGTTTCACACCGTTAAAATTCTAATTAACAAGGGAACCGATTGTATTGATCGATTCAATCTTTAATCTAATTTTCTGTGCAGCCCAAAAACCATATTTGAGGAGTAATATTGCACCCTAATTTATGGTTCCAGTCCTCGTTTACCTTCAACTTTTAAGCACTAACTCTTATCCGATACTGCTTTAAGTTTAATTACAAATTAATACACATATTTTGTTTCGTTAAATATTTCTTCGCTTAGAATTGATATATATTTTGCATAAGCTCATTTCAGCTTCTGTGGCCAATATTTTTTAGTGCAGTGTAGCGTTTGTTTAATCTAAGTTTACAATAAATTTGTTTTAAAGTAGCAATAAAAAGGTTTGTTAATCAAGCCTCATGATTTTCATCGAATTATTTTTTAGTGGTAAGCACCAAGTTCCAATTCCTCAATCCAACAGCTGGTACAAAGTAAAGTAATTAAATTTGTTTTAAATACATCTTCAAATTATTTGATATTATAATCATACGTCAATTGCTGTGGAAATTTCATTCTAATTGGGAAGTATCAGCAGACATCAAATTGTTATACAGTTACACTTAACTAAGATCACTTTTCCAGTTAGTCTCGGGGTAAAATCGATTTGTTAATAAAATGTCTGGTTCTGTAATTCTCTGTAAAACAAGACAATATACCTATGTATAGATATTATATATTTATCTACATTAATAATCCCAAAAAATGTGTGTGTGCATTTGTAATTTACGAACGAATTAATCAAGAAGACGGTACGGGCTATGGGATTGGTTTTTTTCTCGGTATAGTGCCGAAAAAACTTCGAGGGAGCAAAATACCGTAAGTTTTTTAAATCGGCAGGTGGTAAGTGGGTTAATCGATGATTTTTTACCCAAATATGATACTAAGTCTAAAGTTTTTCACCTTTTCTCCCTCCCTCTCTCTCCCTCCTCTCCCTCACAGCGTTACCTGTACTTGGAAATCACGCCCTTTATTTATGTATGCAAAGTTATCAGCTATGTTCTGAATACATACATACACCTACTGCGCTAGGAAATCAGCGTGCATAGTTGAAATTAGGATTTCTTTCATGGCGGCACCGCGGCACGGGTCCGAAAGTTTCAAAATGTGTGGCTGTGCATTATGAAAATTTAGACTAATTAGCTATTTTACATTTTCACGAAGACAGGATTAAACAGGATCTGTCCGATAAAATATCAATTTACCAATTTACCAAGCAGCATTACCAAAATAAAATGTTTACGCGATGTTACTTACTTGTACCTACACCTAATACCTACCCAACCCATCCTCACTTTCTACTATACTTCTGTTTGTTTGTTTTCACTTTTTTTCTTTACTTTTTTGCAAAAAGATGGATGGACAAAATTTGGCAGGAGGCGATGTATTTGTGGGACGCCCCCATTTCTTGCCCCCATTTGAATTTGTGACACGCTTACCCCCATTTATATCTGAATAGTTCAGTGTAAGGAATTAAACAGGAATAATTAAACACGAAACCTGAAACAATGTATGCGTTTATTGGACTTTGGCATTTGTATAATGATTAAATTTGAAAACAAAAACTGAAACTTGAGACAACTAAACTAAATTTTAAACTTATGTTATTAACGTGGCATTATTTTAGCAATATACGGCTATTATATTGGATTGCCAATTATCGCGTCCAATACTAATTGATAAAAAGTAACGGTTATTTCCGTAGTTGCGAATCCTTGCTAAGTTACTCGCAATATTGTACCGCTGTGTTCTTACTTTATTGTCATGTAACATATTGTCAACATCCAAATCGAACTAGTATGGTGCTTGAGGACATATATAATATATTTAAAAAGTGTTAGTACATTGTATAGCTGTTCTTATAGCTGTTCGTAGTTTTTAGAACGAACATAAGGAGTCAGGTGTGGTTTACCCCACCCTAAAAGTTAACGATTTCTATCCTATTTGTTTTTCCTTACGAGTAGAAGATGCCGACATTCGACAACTTGTGATCGAACAGTTCAAACAAAAAGTAATCACATATTACTAATCTGTAAACCAAGCTATTTCAATTTTATCCTAGTTTGTTGGCAATACTGCTCATATCATTATGGTGATTAGGTTTCGGACCTCTGTGTAACCTGTTACAATACAGATGAGTACGTGTTAACTGTAATATTTGTTGGTGCTGACCAGCTGACTGCTGTTCACTGTCACATGTCGTTTATGTGTAATCCTCTAATCTGCTTAATATATTAAAGTCACTATTGTGACGGTACATTAGAACTAGACAGAAACAAAGCTATAAAGCTCACAAAGTAAAAAGTTAATGCCTGCCAGAAAAATGTTGTTTTCGTTTAAGTTGCTGTACATTTTAATACTACATTAAGCATCATAAATTTAACAGTCCTTGCTTCCGCCGGGGCAAAAGTAAATCAGCAAGAATTATGCTGACCCTTAAACTATAACAATTGATACCCTCATATCGAAACTTGCCTATTAGTATTTAGTTAATTATTAATTTTCATGCGTGGTTTCGTTAGGCGTTGATTATCGAGCTCTTCTACCACTACAATTCAACTACGATCTAGATGCTTCTGCGTGTTCGGTGCTATAAAAATCTCAGTACATCATGAGAAATGTGAAACTTTTACTGCTAATTACAATACAATACAAACCAAGGACGTTTCAGTGAAGCAGTAATTAAAGTTGGTTTGGTCTGGAAGGGGAACTGTTGGATGTGAAGAGCTGATTCATTCCAGAGAACTGCTGCAGGGAATTCTGTTGAAGCTGGGATTAACTCCTTAGTCCTTATAGGACTCATACACTGCTGTTGTGTCAACATATTGCCCTATTTTCACAGTACCCGTAGCCAAGAAGAGAGGTTGCTCAGTGAAACATAGATAATGATAGAGGCAAACAATATATAAAGCGGATCAAAGTTGAGGAGAGTATCTCATTAGCACTACCATCTCCAGTACTGCAACACTACGACTTGAGTACAACAGCTACAACGATGTTCGATGAAGATACGGTGAAGGTGGTCAGAGGGAGAACTGCTAACAGTCAGAACCTTCTACTCCGTGGTTTCCGCTACTCCAAAGATGGAAAGCCGACTCTGGATGGACGACAGGCTTGGAGGTGCGTGAAGAAGAACGACAGATGCAAGGGGCGACTCTACACCCTCAACGGATCCCTGTTGTCAGCCACCCAGCCTCACAACCACAGTGCCAGCATAGCTGACTGCGAAGTCCGAGAAGCCCTCTCCCAAGTCCACGATCTGGCTGCGACTACGATTATTCAGAACCACAGAATCTACTGCTCCGTTACTGGCTCGCTGTCCCAGGTTGCTCGCTTCCTCCTCCCCAGTGAACAAGCGGTGAAGAAGCAAGCTCAGAGAGCCCGCCGGAAGGAGAACCCTGTCCCTAGAGCTCCGACGAACCTGACAGACCTTGAACTGGAGGAGGACGACTGCATGTCTCTGGCTGGCGAACCTATGCTCAAGTTTGATAACAAAGACGACGAGCGACGAGTTATCATCTTTGGGACGGAGAAGAACCTGCGAGCCCTGGAGGACAGCAGCTCTTGGTACGTGGACGCGACCTTCTCCTCTTCTCCTCAGCTCTTCTACCAACTCCTCACTATTCACGCTGAGATGGTCAACTTCAACGAGGACGCTACCTGGGTCTTCCCTTGCATCTACATCCTCCTCACCCACAAGGATACCCCGATCTACAAGGAGCCCTCGACAGTCTTGGCAACTTCTCTCCAGACAACATCATGGTGGACTACGAGCTAGCTCTCCGAAATGCCTTATCTGCCACCTTCCCTTCCGCATAAGTTGACACTGACAGCTGCTACTTCCATCTGTGCCAAGCGGCGATGCGGGCTGTCCAGCGACTTGGCTACAAGGAGCAGTACGATCGAGCGAGTTACGACGGATCCCACTACTGGTCAGAAAACCTACACTCCTACCCGGATCTGGATACGCAGACTGATGATCCTCGCCTACCTAATGTGTAAGTTCTGTCTTAGGTACAGTTTCTAGTAGTAGTAGTAGTACCGCCGTATTGTCCAAAGTAAAGTGGGTGTCATGTGATCCGCTGTTCCGTCCAACCTTTTTGGAGAATACCGCCGTACCGGCCTCCGCTGTACCGTCCTCCGCCGGACTGTACACCGCCGCAGTGACTTCCGCCACAGTGACCGGTTCCCGGTTATGTGCCTAACCTGGTGAACACAGTGGATATCCTTGCTGTACGGCTAGTTAGTAGTTAAACAAGGAATTGAAACTGTGGGGCTCCGTGCAGACCAACCTGCCTGTGGCTAAAGCTCTAATATACAAAAACAATACATTCATTTCATGGTGCAAGCTCCGAGTTGGTAAAGTTGAGTAAAAATTCATAAAGATAACGTTATCTTCCGACTATATGTAGGGGTTTTCATTTTTTCAGCCAAACATTATTTGATTGTTCAAATCGTTAATAATTTTGACTTTTTAATATCGGTATATTAGTATTTAATCGCTGTAACGCAGTGACTGTGAATTTATCGAAATTTTAACTATTTGACTAGGCGTCACACCCAATTAAATATTTAAATAGTGACTGGCTAGCAAATAGTTGTCTCGTGGATCTGGTCACGTGACTTTACTCCACTCTATATTTATCAAAAAAGGATTTATCTGATTGATTATAACCGTATTGCAGCACAGCGCCACAATAACCAAACACATTTTAACGAATTGGAGGCAACGGGAGATTTGTAATTGCAGTAACTGAGTCATTAAAATCGTTAACAAATAATCTGCATTGTGAAATTTGTTGATTTTTAACGACACTTCACTTTAAAGATCTTCAAACGGTTTGCATTTAAAAGTAAGTCAGTTTTATGTGGTGATTATTGGACCGTTCTTTTATTTGATATAGACGTAAAACTCCAGCCATTGCTGCCCTATTCCCTTACTAAATATCGTCTTGTTTGATATTGGGTATATTAGAAAACAAAATTCAAAAGAGGTGGCGTAAATGCTATACATTGAATGTATAGGCCCATTCAATTGTAGTAATTATATAACGTGACCTTGTCCACGTGATTAATGATGTGATAACGTTAGTCGCATGACTTCTAATAACATTCTAAGATGAAAACTACACAGAAGCTGTAAACCGAAATTGTTCATCAAACTGATCCTTAAGGATTCTTAAATCACTAATTATTCCATTTTCTTTTTTGTTTTTATTGAAAACTTTTTTTTGAATCTGCCAGCACAAACGGTTTTGTTTTTAAAGTAAACATAACGTAAAGCAAAGCTTCAGCCCAGGTAACCATGACGCTGTACACTGTAACCCTACTACTGACCCTCCCAACAGCGGTGCTCCCTTTCTCTCTGGATATCTACCACACAAATGACATACACGCTAGATATGACGAGAGAGGGCCCTCTGAGGGGGGCAAGTGTAGCCCTGATAAAGGTATTCAAGCGGCTCTATTGTGTACTTCTATTCTAGGGAGTCTTTTTAAGAGCTATATTCCAGGGGCTAGCTATTGTGTACCTCTATTCTAGGGAGTCTTTTTAAGTGCTATATTCTAGTGGCTCTTATTTGAACTTATGTTATATGTAAATAGAAGTTAACTTGTCGGAGTTTTTCATTGCGAATGACCAACATCAAACATTTCACAAATAAGTGGACGGGAATGTTCATTGTTCAATAGTCAATGGAAATACTTTGTTGAATAACTTACATTTTTCAGGGTGTTACGGTGGAATGCCAAGACATGCTCACTACTTGAAAAATAAGGTTGATAAGACTGGGAATAATCTTATTCTCAGTGGTGGCGACTGGTTTACAGGTTAAATAACAGTAGTTTAATTAATAATCCCTGAGTGTCCATGTTAACGTCAAAACATGACGTTAAATATAAGCGTTGTGAATGAGATGATTGCACGGTTGATCTCCAAATTAAGAAATGGTCTATCAAGAAACTGCTTTAACTCTAAAACCACTAAACCTCTAAAACCTCTAAAACTCTAAAACCTCTAAACCTCTAAAACCTCTAAACCTCTAAAACCTCTAAACCTCTAAAACCTCTAACCTAAACCCTGATCAGGAACGACGTACTTTACGGTGTACAAGGGAAACTTAACAGCGCACTATTTAGACGAGTTGAACTATGATGCCTGGGCTCTGGGCAACCACGAGTTCGATCAGGGACCTGAGCTGTTGGCTGAGACTGTGAATAAGATTAAGAAAACAAAGACTGTTGTGGCGAATATGGTCGTCCGCGGCTCTTCAGGGGTATGTACTAATTTATTAATGTACTAATGTACTAATGTACTAATGTACTAATGTACTAATGTACTAATGTACTGTGTGGTTTGTGCGGATTGATGGAGTCACACTCAAATTATCAATTATCATGATTAAGTACCGATTCCTGAATTCAATAGAAATTATCAATTCATCGTCTTGTATTGTAATATATTTCAGCTCTTGGTTCAGAAGTCCACGATCAAGGAGTTCACAAATAAGGACGGTACTTCATATAAAGTTGGTAGGTGGTCTGAATTCCGATATTACAGCTGTTAAATACATTTAATTCTGCGAAGACATCATGTATTTCTTTATATTTACATATATTCCAATATATTGTCACCCTGATTTTGATTCTACAATCTACGTGTTTTAAAAACCTTATCTCTACATCAGGTATTATAGGATACATAACACCAGAAACCACCTTCCTAAGTAGTCCTGGGCCAGACATCACATTTAGTGATGCAGTTGAGGCAGTTAAGGAAGAAGCTGCCAAATTAAAGGAACAAGGCGTTGATATAATTGTTGCAGTCGGCCACGCAGGTATGACAACTAAATAATATGCCAAAATATTCTCAGATAAAAAAGTAATAAAAGGAACAGTCCATTCTTCAAAAATAATACTTGTCTCATATTGTGACTTGTGTTATAAAAACAATGGAAACCCTCAAAAACAAACCCCTCTATTAAAAAACAAACCCCTCTATTAAAAACAAACCCCTCTATTAAAAAACAAACCCCTCTATTAAAAAACAAACCCCTCTATTAAAAAACAAACCCCTCTATTAAAAAACAAACCCCTCTATTAAAAAACAAACCCCTCTATTAAAAAACAAACCCCTCTATTAAAAAACAAACCCCTCTATTAAAAACAAACCCCTCTATTATAAAACAAACCCCTCTATTTAGGGATAGGCACAGATCTAGATATTTGTGACAAAGTGGACAATGTTGATGTGGTAGTGGGAGGTCACTCCAATACTTTCCTTTGGACTGGGGATCTTCCAGAAGGGCCTGTTATCGATGAGACGGTTTACTTCTTTCTCATTTCAAACACAAGGATATAATCTCAATGAAAAATAGATTTATTTACGATTTAAATTGTTTTGGTATCAACAATAATTGTACGGTGCTAATATAATAACTACTAAAATGTACAAAACTTTGCAGTTTGGTAAAATCTTGACTTGTTGACCTGAAAAACCTCTTTGCTCAATAACTTCCACCCTCAGATATACGGTCCCTATCCCATGTCAAGACGCGGAGACAAGTGTCTGGTCGTCCAAGCGTACGCGTACGGTAAATTCCACTACCTCACAAGCCTAGTTTTTTAAATGTTATTGTAATGTAATCTGAACACTTTTTCCACCCTCACCACTCCGTACCCTTTCACGTCACACACCACTCATCATTGACACCACTACATCATATATAATCACCCTTCATAACATCATCCCCAGCTGAAGACGATTTACACAAGTATTTTGAAAGCTCCTGCTAATAAAATCTTTTGTATCACTTATATGTTTTAAATATCCCCCTCCAGGTAAATTCCTAGGTCACCTGTCAGTAAACTTCAGCAGTGATGGCGCGGTGGAGAGTTACTCAGGAAACCCTATACTCATGTGGGGTGAGGATATGGAGCAGGACGAGGACACTCTTAAAAACCTTGAAGAGTATCTGGAGAAGGTTTGTGATGTATTTGTGGGTTGTCTTTGTTGCCACAATATGACAATTCAACCATCCTTATATCACTGTAGTAGATGACTAAGAAGTGTTGGGGGGACTTTAGTATCCATAAATAGAATCAGTAAAACATTATTTCCGGTGGTTTCAAAGTTTACACCTTTACGTGGTGTGACTTGTAGTAATAGTAAGTGAAACTAATATTATTAGTACTAAACATTACTAATATTAGCACATATTATGTACTAAAATGTACTAATATTAGTAATATTTAGTATAATCTATCCTGGTAATTTGGTACCTGACAGGTAAAAGATTTCGCTAACGTGATTGTTGGCTCGTCAGAGAGTATTATTGATGGAACAAGAGATAACTGCAGAGCTAAAGAGTGTGAACTAGGTATGCATTGTAACATTAGCTGGGGTTATTTTTAGGTTATTTTTGGGTTATTTTTAGTTTATTTTTAGGTTATTTTTAGGTTCTTTAGCAGTTTGTAGCTGTTCAAAACTCAAAAGCACGTGACTCAAGCACGTGACTCAGAAGCACGTGACTAAAGTTTGTAAGTTGTAACTATTTTACAGTAGATCCTGTGTTTAACGCAGAGAAATTTACAGGAAATGTGTTATCAGATGCTTATCTGGAGAGCTTTAGAGCAAATGATAAAAACGTTGTTTGCTGTCTTTTAAATTCAGGTAATATTTAAGTTGTTCCTTAAATTTAGGAATTTAACGTTGTATACTGTCTGTTAAATTCAGACATTTAAGTTTTTTGCCTAGTAATGCGTTGATGAATTATAGATGGTGTCACAAAATTATTATTTTCAAAAAACATTTACCCTGATTGTTTCTGACTAGTAATGACTACTTTATCCCAGGTAGCATTAGAGCCAGCATTCCTGAAGGAGACATTACCTTCGAGGATATTCTCACAGTTCTACCTTTTGGAAACACTATAGACAAGTAATTAATCTTTATGTGGTTGTCCAATCAAATAGTTTCCAGACAATCGAATACCAAGAAACACTTTAACAATTAATTAATGATCATTAAAATATTTTCAGGGTTTTAGGTTTAAACGGAACGATACTGAAAGAGGTATTGGAACATAGCGTATCCTCGTTTGATGCTAGTGGGATCAACGTGGAAGGTTCAGGGAGGTAAGACATGTGTCTTCGTTATACTTACTTTTAACTTGTTGACTAGAAATCATAAAAATACAAACCATGCTAGATAAAAGATGGGTAGTAAGATTGTTTTGATTGTTACTTTGTAGCTTCTGCCACCTGGGCACAAATTCAAGTGACTATATTGTTGTTTCAGGTACCTACAATTATCAGGAATTCAAGTGTACTATAATTTATCAAGAGATTTGGGCGACAGAGTCGACAAGATTTTTGTTCAGAATCCTGATGGTATGATTTACAGTTTATTCTCTTCACTGAACTGCAACGTCTTTAAGTCTTTAAAAGAAAATTAAATACGTGCATTTTTATTTTAAACCAACAAATTCGGTTTAACTTGGAAAATTGGAAATATAATAATTTGCATGACGATAATGAACCGTGATGGCGGTTGGACTATAATATACTGTTACCAACTGTTGCTGTTACCTACTGTTACCCACTGTTACTGTTACCGACTGTTACTGTTACCTACTGTTACTGTTACCTACTGTTACTGTTACCTACTGTTATCCACTGTTACTGTTACCCACTGTTACCTACTGTTACTGTTACCTACTGTTACTTTAACCTAAGTTAACCTACTGTTACCAGGTAAATACGAGGAGATGGTGAAGGATAAGGAGTACCAATGTGTGGGACCTAATTACTTGCTAAATGGAGGAGACGGGTTAGTTACAACTAATTAACATAGGACATGTAGTCCTGGTACCCTACTGTACATTTGTGAGCCTACTATCAATATTAGGCTCACAAATATATAGGTCATTTATAAAATAGTTTTGTATCTAACAACTACAAAATACAGGTTAAACGAACTTGATTCTATAATGTGTCTTAATTTACTTCTAACAGTTTCGTTTTCAGGTTCACACAACTGGGTCCCCTGGATAGGGAAGATGGTGCTCCTGATGTAGACATTTTCAAATCATTCCTAGCCAAAAACAACCCTCTGAGTAATCACCCGGCTCTTCAAAACATTCCTTCTAGAACCTTCTTTAAAACTTACAGCAGTGCCCGATCGCTACAGTCTTCCTGCCTTCTCATTGTAGTGTTATTAGGACTTTTATCATAGGATGTTAGAATATTTTATAGCCAGTCTTATTGTTAATTGTATTGGTAATGGTTTACTTTGATGTTAATGACTCTTGATTAAATAGTTTTATGTTATATTCTACGAATCAATTATGTTTTGTTTCTGAGCTGTAAGATCGCTCTATAGTTCAAATTTCTTATTTAAAAATGTCTAACATTTAGCAGTTGGTTGCAAATGAAAATTGTTCTTTAAAACAAGATCCCAAGAAAAGAATAACAGCAACACGCTTGTTGAATGTTGACTCACCTGAACAATACGCCATATGCTTAACCCGACTCTCTGACCGCAGCCTATCCAGGCTTCCTCTGTCTCTGCAGCTTCCTTCTTGACTTTCTTTTCAGTGTCACTTCCTGCAATGAATATTATATGTAAGTTGGTAATTAAGTACCGTGATTCAATGTAAAACTATAGGTCAAAATGCTAAAATACTAACGAGTAGTGGTGGCTGTATGTTTATATGTGCTCCTGCTTATAGTTATTGCTCAGCTCCTCCTTCAAAATAGGTTTGAAATACAACGCATTATACTCAACTTTCTAGAGGTTCTTTTTTACTCACCGAAAAGTGCCAGATTGCTGTCCTTCCAATCGTATTTTTTAGCCTTTAACATGTTGTTAAGATAATCCTAATGAGGCTTAAGTTTTAAACGAAACTAACATTTCAAAACTGCTATTCAGTCGCTATCAAGGCCAAAACGGCTTTAACCTTAAGAATTGAACCAAGCAAAATTCAACATCGAGAACTTGGCGGTCCACAACTAATATGATGGACCAAACATTTCTCCAAAATAAAATATGATCTGGATTACAAACGAGGCATAGGTCTATCAATGTCAGCAATTGTTACAAGCTATTAGGAGGTAGACTACAGAAACAAAATACAAATACAATGAGCTGCAGATCTGGCTCACGATTAAGACAAAGCAGAAGCAGAGCATCTTACGTGATATGTAAATGTGCAGCTAGACCAAGGATTATAACCTGCTCCCTCCTCACCTTTCACATACACTCAATACTCACTGCAAGCTATAAGATCCCGGGGCTGCCGGCTCTCCAGAAAGCGTTAGCTGATCACGTGATGTCCACCTAGGGGCCACGTGAGGGGTATTAATGAGCGATTACACTGAGTTGTGGACCCTGCTCCAGTCCTTGTATAAGAATAGGTGTAATTGAAGCGATGAGAGGTGAGAGGGGTGCAGGTAATGTGTAGTGGGAGGGTAAGAGAAAGGGAGAGTGGGATGGTGGGAGAGCAGTGTGTGTTGGATCAGCCGCTCTCTATTCGACCGTGCAACCCTGCCACATATCTCACAGTTGTAGACTCGAATCAGTAACAATACTGCAATTAACCATGAGATTTGCATAATTAAACCATTAAACCGTGCTCCTTAATTCATCACTTAGACTGTTTCGTTCTGTCCCAGAACAACGTGTCCCAGATTTTTAGCCCCAATGAACTCCTTCGGAATTATGCCTATTCTTTAACGAAATTATGAGTTACTTCTTCTCTTTCACCAAGGGATCATGAGTATGGTTGTGTTCCATATCTTCATGCTAATGAACAAGCAGATCTGTTAGAGTCAATAAAGAACCCAATAAGCACATGAGAATTGCAATAAATTGATTATTGCATTTACATGACTCATGAGACGATTTGCAAGAAAAAGAGTTGGTGATCCAAGCTTAACATCACACGATTTTCACTTTGAGACCAAGAACGAAGAACAAGCCGATAGCGTAAAGCGTAAACAATAATCGAGTTGTCAGACAATTTGTAAAAAAAGTGTCATGAGGCTACCACACCCCACTCGAATGAACTTGAGGTCTGTAAAATGTTCACGTACTCTGGAGCTTTGAAGTCATATCCTGTATACAGCCCCTGTAAATAATAAATGTTGTTATCAAAACGTTCTTGAGGTACTAACACTGATCACTTGGTTGCCTTTTTTGAGACACTCTGTAGTCTGTACGTTAAATATAAGGTCTGATGTTAGACTTAGAGTGTCCCTAATGTCGATTCTGGGGAGATTGATCCGTGATCGTGCAACCAGGGCGAAACTTTTGTTTTAGTAGAAAAATAGTCGAATTAAATATAGAATACAAAGAATTAGATATAGGATACAACGATTTAAGGAGACTGTTAGAATTAAAAACAAACTTTAACGATTTAATTTAAAACTCTTTGAAAAAAAAAATTGAAATCGTGTTTTATATTGAAGTTATTGAAAGCTTTAAAATCGGTATGTCTCATAAAGTTGCTAGAGATTTCAGATTTCATCAGGGTCAAAAAACAAAATCCTGCCACCTGATGAAGATTTGAATAAAAAATTTACAGAATATGCTTTTAATTTGCATTCACAGTGATCTCGTTAGAGCAAGATTAGCTTGTTCCAATAAAACATCAAACATTCCAGTTTCTTTGACTAAATCGTAGAAAATACTGTCAGGTCTCTGCAGAAGTACTGCCGGTTGGTCAAACTCAACCAATCTACCAGCGTCAATAACCATAACACGGTGACTGTCGATAATGGTGTTTATTCTGTGAGCTATTGTCAGGACAGTGCAGTCGGAGAACTTCTGTCGGAGAGTCTGCTGGATCAGATGATCAGTTTTCTGGAAATATGGATTAGATCGTTAAAAGTAAACAACAAATGTTTAATCACGCCACCCTCCCAACCCACTCCACCCGGCTCTGTACTCATTGTTACCTCCACCGTTATTTAATTTGAAACATCATCCCTCGCCCCAACTTTTCCTGAATTAAATAATTCCTTACCTCGTCTACATTAGCTGTGGCCTCATCAATAACCAAAAACTTGTTATCTTTCAGCATAGCTCTAGCAAGACACAACAGCTGTCTCTGACCAGCTGACAGATTCCCGCCACCCTCTTGGACCATCATCTCCAGACCTCCAGTCTGGGCTGAAATGTACTTTTTCAACTCTACCTTCTCCAGCGCATCCCACAAATGCTCGTCACTAAACTCGGTGAACGGATCAAGATTAACTCTCAGAGTTTCCGAAAAGAGAAGACTCTCTTGAGGAATTATACTGATAGATTTTCTAAGTTCGTGGAGACCCATATCTCTCGTCAACATTCCATCTAACAGTATATCTCCTTCTGGCTCAACCATTCTGAATAGAGCTTGTAGTATTGTACTTTTTCCAGCGCCAGTTCTACCCACAATTCCGATCTTCTCGCATGGTTTGGTTATAAAGGATAAATCATAGAGAATATAGTCAGATTCAGGGTCAGGATCGTACTTCAATTTAACATTTCTAAACTCTATCACACCATTCTGTACATCATTACTGTTGGTAATAGCATGACAGTTGCCCTGGTCTTTGTTTCTATCTGGAGCCTCCAAAGGAGCCTCTGGTGGTAATTCAGCGAACATGAAAATTCTTTCAACAGCCGTCATCATGTTTTCAGTCTCTGTATATTGGTTAACGCACCATTGTAAACCACCGATCATATTATTAACGTAAACTAAAGCTAGCCCAGCAATGGAAGCACTGATAAAATCCCTGAGAGCGACTGTTAGAAAAGTAGCGAGGACGGAAGTAGCTATGGTGATAAAATCTAGACGTGTATTTAACCACTCTGCTGAAGCCTCAAACAGCATCCAGCACCGTGTGTGCTCATTTCGCAGGTAATAGTGCTTTGATTCGTATATGTCTATCTGAATGATAGGGATAAAACGTTTTTAATAGTTTGATGTGCTGTAATTAAGTAATTATGATAGTAGATGTGCTGTTAGTGTAATTAAGTAATTATGATAGTAGATGTGCTGTAATTAAGTAATTATGATAGTAGATGTGTTGTAATTAAGTAATTTTGATAGAAGATGTCACTCTCCTGCAGCCTGTAGTAGAACTGTACAATGTACAATGTTCAATATACATATGAGATATAGGTCAAATATTAACATTGATTTTAAAACTAACCTGATTGTTGGCACGAATAGTAGTAAGGCCTGATAATGTGGCAGAGATATGGGACATAATGGGACTTCTCTCTGTTGGAAGAATAGGGAATGAAAAGGTGAAGGAACATGGTTTTCAAATACAATTTATATCCGAAAGGGGGTCTAGTTAGTTTTCAAACTTCCATGTCGCAAAATGTAAAGTGGACCGTTTGATACAAAGTGTAAAGTTTCGATTAAGAGAGAGTTTCAGAAGTTTTGCTTACTCAATGCTTCGATCCTTCGCATTTCTATAGATGTAGTGAGATAGTATCGCACAGTGTACAGAAACAATACCGTCAGCACAATTAGCGGTATGATAAACCAGTAATTAGCTATTACAATCAGGATAACAGATGCTGAAAGTGGTATACAAATTTGTTATAAATTCGACTTCAATCTTAACTTTCTTACTAACAAAAGCGGAGATTGTGTGTGTTCTGGATATTTACTGGCCACTTAATGAAGATGGTCAGGTGTGAGCTTTGGGACTGGTTTCTTCGGTATAGTGCCGACAAAACTTCGAGAAGGCCAAATAATTAAAACTTCATGAAATCGGTTTATAGTGGTATCTGTTACCAAGATAGAGAATAAAGAGCTGAGCAAACTCAAATGTAACCCCTGGTAATCGTTCGTCCATGAAGTAAACATCTTTTGAAAATCTGTTGATCACCAAACCTGAAATATTTTTAATCTTATATCAATATTCAGTAAAAATCTCTACGCCTAGTATCTTTATTTATAAATCCTTTATACATATATAACGGATTACCTTATTTTCAGGCTTAAATATTAAATTGAGTAACAGAAATAAAATGGACTACGTGAAAAAAGCTCTTAGGTGATAGAAACTACAGAACCAATCATCTATAAATCATCAATCAAGAAACAAACCTATAGGGTGGGTGTCAAAATATCTCATGGGGGATCTGAGCAAGGCAAAAAGGGCTTTATCGTGAAGTATTCTACCAGCCCTGAGAATTAGGATTTTTGACGGAATGTAGATTTTATCGCAGATAACGTTATTTATGCTTTTGATTATAGATTACCGATGGGATGGACATGATATATATGTTACTTTTATTATTGTTTTATTAAAAAATCACGCTATCGAACCTGTACACTATGAACACGAAAATTAAAGATTTGAGGAGGATTAAGAAAATAGCCCCGCAGGCCAGTCCGACGTAGATTTTATAGTGGGTTTCATCTTGGGACACTATTTCTGCCTCCTTGTTAACTCCTTCAGCTCTGTTGTCCACCCTGGTAGGTTCATTATCGTATATATAAACGTTTACACATCGATACGAATATCACCGCGAAGATAATTTAAATCTCAGAGTATTAAAGAATAATTATTAGCAGGAGAGACACTTGGCTACATACCAGCTGACTGCGTATTGCTCTTGAAATATGATGAGTATTTGTGGAGCTAGCATGGCTATTATCAAAATGGGGACTGCTAGATATCCGAAACTCAGTGATAAGTATCTGAAATATTAAACAATATTACTTATATTAGCCGTGTAGTATATAAATACTTTTAATTTGATGGAACTGATATTTTTATCGTTAAAAGTTAATTGAGACGGGTATTAAAAGATGGGAAACGTCACAGAAGTGGATTTTAAAAATATCAGACCTAAAGTAGAGTAGTATATCTAAAGAACCAGTCTTCTTCTCTTCTTTGAACTCCTCTGGTCTCTCATCTTCTTTTATTTCCTAAGATGGGATTAATTCATGGGATATAACAGATAAAGATGAACTTCAATGTAAATAATAAATATAAATAAACGTTTAGCCAGCAACTAATCGGGCACCCTATATTGTAAAATATAAAAGAAGGGTACCTCTTCCTCCTCCCATTCTGAAGTCTCCTCTCCGATTCCTCCTCCAAACTCTGCAGAAATCTTAGACGTTGTTCTAATGCGCTTAACTTTCTTTTCAACCCCGAGCATGGATAGTTCCACACCTGAGCAATTTACATAAAAATGAAATATGAAGTCGCAGTGATTTCACCTTTCTGTCGAATAATATCAAGAATTCGTAAACAAACTCAGAACCTTTTAACAATAGCTCCGAGTAGGTCCCTATGTGGCTTATCTTGCCCACAACCTCAGCATTGTCACCATCAGCAGCAACCTCTGTATCCATGACAACTATGCGGTCAACTTCGCTTAGAAAGTGGGTGGCGTGGGTTACAAGAATCCTTGTCTTGCCGGACAGTTGTTCTTTAATCAACCTGAAGCAAGTTTTTGAGAATCAGTTAGCTTCCCAATCTTACTCAAGTTGTTCTTCAGCAAGGTTCAGGTAGTTGCAGTATTATTATCTGCGATAGGAAAAGAAGAAGAGTGAAGTGAAATAAGACGCGTTTTATATCATTGTTTGCAATGGTCTGGAATTGAATCTGTTGTAAACAATGTTTGCTTTGCTAAACTTTAATTTGTTTGTCATCATGGAGACATACTTGTTGAAGATGTGTTTAGCACATCTGCTATCTACAGCACTGAGAGGGTCATCTAGAAGTATTATCGGATCTTCCCCTGAAATTTATAGTGAGTTACATCCTAAGTTTATGTACCGAACAATGGCCTTAACAAATTATACTAAAAATCGTTCTTCATTTAAAAAAATAATATAATGAACTGACCGTATACTTAACCGACCCACCAGATGAATTATATGCATGCATAGTCGCAACCTTGGAGTCCTTGGACCTGGATTCGTCGGCTACTTAAACATGGCATGAAATACAGCTGTGGTTAGTATCCCACCCCCATTAATTACTAACCGTATACAGCTCTAGCGAATATAATGAACTAACCGTATACAGCTCTAGCGAGATTAACCCGAGCTCTCTGTCCCCCACTCAACTGAACACCCCGCTCTCCGACAACTGTATACAGCCCATTCGGAAACAGTTCTAGATCCTGGATAGTGTTTACTTTTTAGGTAATGAAACAGGGTGAATGGAAAAAATAAATGATATTGAACCGAAATTCATGTCTAGTTAGTTTTTGAAGTCTTACTGTATCTTTTCAGTGCACCTGGTACCTACCCCGGTGAGATAACAAGACTCGATACATCTTTTTAATCTGTCCTTATCAAGAGGTCTGTTCATTAGAATGTTTTCTTCAATATTCCCTGGAATGGAAAAACATAACTTCAAAAAATGTACGAGTTTTTTTGGGTTACTTTTTGGTTTAATTTTCAAACTCTTCGGAAAAAATATTAGATTTGAAAAATAAAGAAGGAATGAATGGAACAGATCTGAGATCCCCCTCCACCTGACCAAACATTGACAAATATAACTAACTAACAATGTCTCACCGTTAAATATCCAGGGTACTTGTGATGAGAAGCCTATTCTACCATCTATATTGAGAGTACCCTCATGCTCTAACTCCTGTAGGATGGTCATGAGCAGGGTAGTTTTACCACAAGCAACAGGTCCCACTACAGCGATAAGTTCACCCTTCTTTACACGCAGATTAACTCCTAAAGATATTTAGAAGTTTCTAAGATACAATATTAGTTATTAGTTGTTATTATAAAGTTAGCCTTTCAAGATACAATATTTGGCACTTTCCTTTTATGCATTGATCGTGAAAAGGTGATAATGGATATGTTGATTATCTAAAAACTTACCAGCTAAAGAAAAGGTTTCAGACCCCCAACGTGAAGAGAGATTGTCCAAATTTACAGCATTGTCACTCTGCTCAGCAGTAGTTGGTGTCTCTATTTGATGAAAACGTTACGCTGTATGTTTCAAAGAAGTACATTGCAGTTGATTTTTATTGCTTTTTTATTATGAGTTCCTTGATGAGAAGCAGTCTTACCTGCAGTTAGAAAGTTAGATCCGTTAATATCCTTCACTTCTGGGTCCTTTTGTAAGAATTTCTTATTCGCAATAACTTCGTTGGTAAGTTTGGTGATAGCAGCATCTTTGGGAAGATGCTTTATTTCATCGGCATTCAGAAAATCCTGAAGATTAAGTTCAAATTGTAATAGCGACACTGGATACTTAATTTGATGTGCCAAAGTTGATAGATAAGATAAAAATTGAGAAGGTAAATTTGCTTATCTTGTTTCGAACCTGGATTCTCCATAGGCTGTGTATAACTTGTGGTATAAGAGCAAAGGAACCCCCAAGAAAAATGTTGATTTGAATACCGATAACTCCCATCATAGACAAGTAAAAGAAAACATGTGTTGTCAGGATTGGTTCATCCAGAGATCGCTTCAACTGCGACGAAAAAACGGTCAGGGGTGAGGGGTCTAATATACGCTCCTAAATTTCGAATACAGGCCACTTGGTAATCTAGCTAGGCACAGTGGGGCATAGTTGTGCTCAAGTGTGCCCAATTGTCCAAATATATTGTACTGAAGAGTTCACTGTTCAGAATCAAGTCGAACAATTTGATACATTTAAATTGCAAGGAATATACAACCTTTATCTCTTGCATTTATCTGAAAAAGTGCACTAAAAGTCACAAAACTCACAGTTATAAACACAAGAAGAGACACGACAGGAGCAATGAAGTAAAAACCGGTGTTCATGGCATTCATCAGCACAAACACGCCAATATAGCGTGATTCCTTGAGTCTGATCTGTCGGAAGCACGATTTAAAATATTTTCATTTCCTTTCATCCTCTTATGATTATCAGAATTGAAACAACTGTCAATATTATTTTCTCTGTAAGCCATGGGCATGGTGACTTGGTGAGAAAATGTGATAGAGATTGCGATGAACAAGATATCAAATGCTACATTTAATTTCACCCTATTAACATTATCATTATCATATTATCATCCTAGAATTCACCTTTTCTACAAGCTTCTTAAACATGAGTTCCCAACCGTACATCTTTATGACCTTGATGAAAAGAATCATCTCGTGTATAATCTTGACTCGGCTGTCCGTTAGCGGTGCCGCTTTGGTTCTGAAGTAATTCATATCATAAGGTTTAATGTCGTCAGATCACATGGTTAATGTCGTCAGATCGTGTGGTTAATGTCGTCAGATCATGTGGTTAATGTCGTCAGATCGTGTGGTTAATGTCGTCAGATAATGTGGTTAATGTCGTCAGATTGTGTGGTTAATGTCGTCAGATAATGTGGTTAATGTCGTCAGATCGTGTGGTTAATGTCGTCAGATAATGTGGTTAATGTCGTCAGATTGTGTGGTTAATGTCGTCAGATCGTGTGGTTAATGTCGTCAGATCGTGTGGTTAATGTCGTCAGATCATGTGGTTAATGTCGTCAGATCGTGTGGTTAATGTCGTCAGATAATGTGGTTAATGTCGTCAGATTGTGTGGTTAATGTCGTCAGATAATGTGGTTAATGTCGTCAGATAATGTGGTTAATGTCGTCAGATCATGTGGTTAATGTCGTCAGATCACGTGGTTAATGTCGTCAGATAATGTGGTTAATGTCGTCAGATCGTGTGGTTAATATCGTCAGATCGTGTGGTTAATGTCGTCAGATCGTGTGGTTAATGTCGTCAGATCGTGTGGTTAATGTTGTCAGATTATGTGGTTAATGTCGTCAGATCGTGTGGTTAATGTCGTCAGATCACGTGGTTAATGTCGTCAGACAATGTGGTTAATGTCGTCAGATAATGTGGTTAATGTCGTCAGATCATGTGGTTAATGTCGTCAGATAATGTGGTTAATGTCGTCAGATAATGTGGTTAATGTCGTCAGATAATGTGGTTAATGTCGTCAGATCATGTGGTTAATGTCGTCAGATAATGTGGTTTATGTCGTCAGATCGTGTGGTTAAACTTCGTCACTTGCTTATTACTTATCAATATCTGATAAAGACCCTAAAAAAGATAACGAATGTCACTGATAATAAATAAAATTAAACTTTTCGTTTTAGATAATATCGCTACAAATAAATTATAGAATGAGTACCAGTTCTAACTCACCGAAGATAAAACACAATCCTCCCCATGGAAATTTGGATAGGTACAAAAAGGAACATGACAAGAAAGCCTGTCAGTGTAGCGTAGATGCCAATTTGGTTGTACATCACAATAAAGCTGACAATTAGGACTGATGAGAGGTTCAATAAGATTCCAGAGAAGGGCATTAACTGAAAGACAAATAGTAGGCAAAATGCAAATATTAAATAATTCATCAAAAAAAATATTGACTAGCTTTCAATCCTGGATATTTTGTAAATGTTTGACAAGTTAAATTTAAAATTAAACCATGCGATGATTTCAAATATTTTCTAACTTAACTTAAAATTACAAACACCAATTATTATGATCAATTGTCAAGGGTTTACCTCTTCTATACGCTGAGCATCATTAGTCATTAGGTTTATAATCATACCCACAGATCGGTCTCCTATCTCCCCTTGGGTTATCCTACACGCCTGATATGATAACCAGTTCAGTATTCCTTACTCAATAAATATCTCTTGTCTATTTGCAGGGAAAGTCCTATGTTGAAAAGCATTTATTTAGTTATCAACGATTGGGCTAAATCATACTATTGTAATCATTGTTACCTTTCTGTATATAAGTCCAGTCAAAGCAACTCTTATAGCGGTTCCAAGCTTTTTGAAGCGGTAAAAATTAGCGTAACCACTGATCAAAATCATCACGACGTAAAGAAGTAACAAACCGACTGAAATCATAATACTTGGTGTTACTGTTATTAATATTAACTGGCATATTTATGATATATCAAGGCATACTTTCTCTTCTATTCGAAAGAATGTGATACGGTTAGATTTGACGTCAAAGTTAACAAATTACCAATACCAGAGTACTAACATGACCAAAGAAACGCTGTTTTTTCCGTCATTTCAACTTTCGGATCGAAGTAAGATGCTATTTTAGCAACAAAGAGAGGAGCGGTACATCTTAAAACCGCCTGAAAAGAATACTTTGCTTTAGTTAACATTTTTGATTTGTGCGTTTCAAATTAAATTGTTTGGGTTGACGATTTGGAACCAAAGGTTAGGATGAAAAATGTATTTTGATAAAAAATAGAACTAACCTCACAATTTGTAGTAAAAACAAACACAATCAAGCTGAAAAGATGCCTTTTGAGGATAGTGACAACCAGAGAAGGGTTTTTCTTTTTTTGCGATTCCCAAAGCCATTGCCTGAGACCATTTTAGGACAATATAATTCTAACTAAGAGTTTAAAAGTAATTGAATTTTCTTTTTTCTAGTGATCCTTGGAAAAATACCATTAACTAAGAATAAATTTGATAATATCAGTGTGCTTACTGTTCGAGAAGACCAGTCAACCGTTCGCTCTGAAAGTTTGGGTTGATGGGATATATATCATCTTCAGTAAGAGTTCTTCTATTTCCAGCGCTAAAGACCTTCTGTAACCAACTGTAAAATTGTGGCTATTAAATATAGCTTTTCAGTTCACATAAATTTATTTGCAGGTTCGTAACAATAATACCAAATATATTTTGTCCACAGACCACAAGATCATTAAATTTTGTTTAATTGACTCGAAAATAAACTTACTGGAACGACAGCAGACTAAATATATTAGCTTCAACTTCAGGATTGCCTTTTTTTATAACCATCGAGCTGCTATGGTTATTCTGATTGAGGGAAAAGTTCATAAGAATGTTGATATAAAGGTGACAATACTGGCCGTCGTGATATAAAGGTGACAATACTGTCCCTCGTGATACCAAGGTGACAATACTGGCCGTCGTGATATAAAGGTGACAATACTGGCCGTCGTGATATAAAGGTGACAATACTGTCCCTCGTGATACCAAGGTGACAATACTGGCCGTCGTGATATAAAGGTGACAATACTGGCCCTCGTGTAAGATTTCTATAATCTTTCTCTGGAAGCAATTAATAAAAACTGAACTGATCAATAAACTTAAAGAGAGAAACTAAAAACTGAATAGAAAATGTTGACACTTCTGATTCGGTACATGACAATTAGTTTTTTAAATTGTGAATTCTTTAAAAAGGAATTCATTAGTTGCTTGCTAAAATATTTACAGGATTGCAACAGGGTGCTAACTGCTAAGGACACTGATAGGTTTTACAGATAAGAAATGCGTACAGATAAATGAAATAATAACTGGCCAGTTACATTTTGGCAACAGTTCATTATTTGTTAGATGTTTGTGCAGAAGCGTATAAAAAAGTGAAAAATTGGGCTGGGGAAAAATTTGCGGAGAAAAAGAATGGTAAAAGATTTGAAAGGTGGGAGGGAAAAAAATTCCCCACTTCATGGGAATATCACTAAAAATTTTAGGTTCCGCCCCAAAATTGTAAGATAATGAGAACTGGGAAAACTGTTTAAACAAGAATAGGGGGTTATTATTACCCCCTTATTTAAGGAGTATTGAAGCGGGTAAACAAAACATTTGGGTTTTCCCGACCCATTAAAAAATTGGGTTTCTGTGAGAAAATTTCTAAAAAGATTGAGGGAAATGAATCCCCTCGAAATTGGGTGGTTTTCCGGTTTTCCGGTGTGGGTTCGACAAAAAAATTTTATTTTTAATCTTAGCATTAAAAAATAAATTGTCTAATCGGTTTGAATTTGATTGAATTTAAATCCCCAAAAATATAAAATGATATGGATTCCCAAAGTCCCAATACCATAAAATTAAAACTTTTTTAAATTTTTGGGAAAATTTTATGTTGGGTTTTGTTCATTTTTGGGGTCAAAGCCCCTTTTCAGATTCGTAAAAAGGGTTTTATTTTTAAATTTAGTTAAAAAATTGTTTCCCTTTTTAAAAAACCTTTAAACCCCAACCTTCGTTTAAAGAATATAATTTTAAGTTACTCTAAACCAAAAAAAATGCCAAAAAATATTTTCTTAAGTAAATATAGGAAAAAAATTAAAATTTTTAATTAAGCAAAAATTACTAATTTTTGTTTCTAAATGGGGAAAAAAAGAAAAAAAAAATTTGGTCGTGTGGAAAAAAATTGAGGTAGGTAAAATGGAGTTTGTAGATTTTTTGGGGATATGTAGTAGGGGTAGGTTGCAAAGGTTGGGTTTTTTAAATGGTTTTAAATGGCCAACGTTTCCCCCTCCCCTTTTGTTGTTTGGTATTGTTTTTTAGTGTTAGCGTAGCCATTTAAAAGAAAGAATCAAAAAATTTGGGGGGTGACGGGGGAAAAGGGGAAGGAAAAAGAAAACGGGACAAAAAAATTTAAATTTAAATTTTTTTTGGGGAGATTAGATATTTTTTTTTCAAGTTCCCAAAAATTTAAATCACGACAAAAAATTAAAAATTTAAATGGACATTTTTACGCTGTTTTTTCCTGGCCCGTTGAATTTGGTTTAGACTTTGAAACTTTTTTCCCCAAGTTTCAGAATTTTTTCCCTTTTTTAGAGATTTCGTACCGTGTTTCAAAAAATTAAAAAAGTAAAAGGGGATTTTTTTAAAAATTTTTACGGTTTTAAGAAACCGAATTCCCTAAAAAAGTTATTTTTTTTTCCCCAGAACAACTTTTAAAGGTTTTTAATAGTCTATAAAGGCTATACCCTTTTAAAAATTTTGAATTTTAAATATTTTGGGGGAAGATGGGAGGTAAAGAACCCAATTAGTGAAAAATTCCCCAAAAATTAAAATTTTTGACTTGAAAAAATTTTGTAAAAATGGGGGGAATGTTACTGTGGGAAAATGAAAGGGATAAAACAGAAAATTAAAATATCGTTTTTTTTATACATTTATTTTTTAGTTTTTCTTTTAAAAATTTTAATTTTTAAAATAAGGGTTGTTAATGATTTTATTATTGGAAAAGCTCGCCCCCTTCCCAAAAATTAGGATAAATTTTTTAAATAATTTATGAAAAGAAAGGTGTTAATAATAGAAAAATCGCAACATATGTTTATTTTTGGGTTTTAATATCTTTGAAACCCCATTTTTTTTTCTAAAGAAAAATTTTTATAAATTTTAAATTTTTTTTCCCAACAGTGAGATAGTTGGGGAAATTAAAATTTCCCCCAAAAAATTTTGGGTATGAATTAAAATCCCCCCGAGCCGAAAATTAAGGTTATAAATAAAAAATTTAAAGCCTCTTTTAGGTTTTTCTTGATAAAGGGAAAGGAAAATTCATAGGTTTTTTTGGGAAAAAAAAAAATTTTTAATGTTTTTTAGAATTTTAAAAATAATTATTACGGTGAAAAATTAAATCAAAACTTCTTTTAATATATTTTATTAATCAATTTAAATCTGGTAAAAAGAGTGTAAAAAAATAATTTCTTGTATATTAAAAACCCTCGCTTTTTTTGATAGTTAAGGGAATTTTATTGAGGGAATTTGCTCCAAAACTGTTTAAAACGCTTTTGTTGTGGATTGCTGCGAAATTTTTAAAGTATTTTAAAAAGTTTCGAAAACCAGAAAAATTGGCGTTAATTTGTTTGGGAAAGCAAAAACGGGACTGAAAATTAAACCCTCCCCCTTGAAAGGGGTTTCTTTAAAGCTTGGGGTTTCAAAAGGATGCGTGTTCGAATTTTTTATCTTCAACTTGTACTTTAAAATTTTCCCCCTTTAGACTCTAGATATTTTATTGATAATGAGTCTGTTTCGCTACAGGGTTTTATTTTGTATCAAAAATTTAACTTTTAGAGTTTTAGGATAAAAACCCTTTATTGCAAGGGGTTTTTACAAAAATTTTAAAATAAAAAAAAAATTTCCCGAGTTTTGTCGATCTACCTAATATTTTTACTTTTCGGGAATTTTAAGACTTCTTTTAACTCTTTTTTTCCATGTGTTTTCTTTTATTTAAAATGTTTCGGGGAAATTTTTTCTTGTAATATTCAATACGTTTGGGAAAAATTTTAAATCTTTTTCCCTTTAACCCTTAAATTTTTATTTTTTTGACAGTTTTCTACTTTTTTTTTTTTAAATACTTTTTGGGCGTTCGGAAAATGCATATATTTCTCTTTGGAAAATTTAAAGTGGGAATTTGTTTTAAAAACCGTTTAAAAAATACTTCCAAATTTTTTAACATTATCAAAATATCAAAATTCCCGGAAAAAAGTCCTGAGGGGAAAATTTGAAAGGGGAGGAGGGGGACAATCGCATGGATCCCAAAAATAGTTTTTAATTTTAAAAATAAAAAGTTTCTTTAGATAAAGATGGGTTCCCAAATAGAAGACTTTTGGGGATTTATTCATAATAAATTTTAAGGGTTTAAAAAAGGATAAAAAAAAAGGGGAAGAAAATAATGACTGAATTTGTCAGAGAAAATAGATTTTAGGTTAATTTAAGCAATGTTTTAAAATTAAAAAAACCCTTTTAATAATTTTTATTTGGATTCAGGTTTGATGGTTTTTTGGGGGAAAATGTTGAACAAAAAGGGAGGAAATTATTTGGGTAAATAAAACCTAAAATTTTTTGATAAAAGAGTTAGGAGTGAAAAAATTGGGAAAGCAAAACTTTTTTAATGTTTTTTATATGGAATTTTCTGAAGGATTTTTTCCCCTTTCCCGCTTTTAAATTTCAGACTTTGGAAACCCAAAGAATTTTTTAGGTGAACTTTTTTTTCCCCTTCCCCTTTTGCCTTTTGAATGGAAATTTTTCCCCCTTTAAAAAAAAAATTTTTAACCCCGTTTGGGAATTGTTGCCCGCCCCTTTTCCTTTTTTGTTTTAAGACAAGGGGGGAATGCTGCCCCAAGGGCTTCTTTCCGTAACCCTAAGGGGGGAAGAAAAACTTTTTTTGAATTGGGGGAAAATTTGTCAAAATCAAATAATCTCAATCTGTATGGAAGCTTCTGAGAAAAAACGTGCCCGGGAAATTTTAAAAAAAGTTATTTAAAAAGGGTGGATGATTTGGTTTTGGGACCCCCAAATTTTGGGCCCTTTGACTTTTTTAAGAAGTGGTTGGTTGTTTCCCCAAACATATTTTTTTTTAACGGGTTTAAAAAAGGGTTTAAAAATAAAAAACTTTTATTTTTTTTAAAATTTTAAATTTAAAAAATTTTGGGTAGTAAAAGGAAAAATATTTTTAAAAATTTTACTGCCCCTTTAAAATAAAAATTAAAAAGGTTAAACTGTTGCAAGGGGAGACAATTCCCCTTGAAATTTCAAAATTTGCTAGAAAAAAATTTTTACTGGGGGTTCCCATTTTTTAAAGGTTTTTGAAAAAAAAATTTACCATTACTTTTAAAAGTAAAGAAAGGGTAAATTTTAAGGGCTTTTGTAGCCCCAAAGCTGAGATGGGCCCAAGGACAAGGTGGAAATTTAACCCCTTTGAATGGGGTGCAGGATTGGGCGGGGGGTTAGATGTAAAGAACCTAAATAGTTCTCCCCCGACGCGTGTCCCTGGCAAAGATTTTCGGCCCAAAAAATCTTTAAAAACGGTTTTGACTCCCGGTTTTCCCCCCGTAGAAGGGGGAAGTCACCCCGGGAAAATGACAAAAAAAGGGGTAAAAAAGGTTTAAATCAGGAGATGTATGTCAACAAAAGATTTAAAAGGGAGGGCCCCCAAAAAAAACAAAGATAAAAAAATTTTTGGGAAATGGGGGGAGAGATTTAAATGAAACATGGGCCCAATATCAGAAAAAGCTATTTTTAGTACCAACGGGGGGAAAAACCCAAAAGCTTGATAAGATAGGAG